AGGAATGTACAAGGCAGCTTTCATAATTCCTGTTGTGCTGTATTTGTGCCTCCAGCCAGTGCTTTAACATTTGGACTCAAATTGTTTTGAGTACCAAACTTAGATGTATTAAAAGGAAAAATGGTGATTGATAGAATTACCTGTATATCCCATTAAAAGTTGTGATATTGTGAGAAAATACTTAACAATATTCTAATTTTTAGCTATGTTAGCTACATTTTGAAGTGTCTTATTCTTAACAGAAGTTGCAGCAGAGGTATGTGATGAACTGGGAAGTAACCTAAGTTAATCATTGCAGCTTATTTTTCTTTAAACTTAATCTTCTTTGAAAGATACCTCATCTTTTTTTAAGCAATAGAACTATAGATGAGAGAACCTGAGTTCAGTATGTAGGGAGAAGCGTTATTTTGTGCTTGTTCTAAGCTTATAAATCATCAGAATATTTTAAGCACCTGCTAACCAACACTAAAAGAGCCAGCTTCAGAAAAGGCCAGGAGTTGAAAAGCGGGGATGTTTCTGGTTTGAGAACTTAATACATATGGAAAAGGATGTGTTTTCTTTTTAACTTCTGTTCTCTTTCAGAGTAATTCATGTGTGTACTGCACTAATCGTGGAACAAACATGGTGCAAGGTGAGAATGTGAATTGGTGGAGAGAGAACCAAGTTATGTCACTTTTTTAGTAGCACTTGTGATACTGGCTGTCAGTTCACGGTCTGATCTTTCAGTCTTACAGGGAGGACAGATTTGTTTCCCTTCCACAGATGATATGTTTGCTTCATTGCTATCTCATCCGTATATGGAGATTGCCCCAGAGGGCTTTTTTAGCCTGTCTGGCAGTGGATCGTAATGGTGTCGGCTTGTGAAGTAACCCAGTCTGGTTTATGCAAGCGTAGCTTGGTATCTTGAGGACCCCAAAGAAGCTGAAATTCAGCTTAGAAGTATCCTGTGGCAGCTCCTGAGTCAGTCACTTCGGAGAAGGGACGTGAGTACTACTCTGTGCCCTGCCAAGCACCAGATGCTCAAGTACAATGGCATTATTTAATAGTGACACTTTTGTATTGCATTTTTCAAAGTCATCTTAGTAATGGCTTGAGCTTGCTAGTTGTTTGTTTACTGTATAATACTGTACCTTGCTATGGTTGTTAATATTAAATTGGTGTCAAGAGCTCTTATCAGACTACTTTTTAGGGTAGTTTTAATGAAATTAGGATGGGTTTTTTACTTTTATTTCTGTATTTAGGTTTTTTGTTTTGTTTGTGCTTTGAGACAAGTGCAATAAACTAGATTTTTAAGAAATAAATTACTGTGGTAAGACTCATCTGTTGTATGATTCACAGAGGTCTCAGTGTCTGGAAATTGTCTTGATGCGGCAGATAGACACGCTTATGAAACTCTTCCCTGCTCTTACCCCAGACAATATGGTAATGGCAATGTGAGTACCTGGATATTGGAAAGTTCATTTCATATGTTATCTTTTTTTAGTTGTGACAGGTGTGTCAAACCAGCAAAATGGTCAGCTTCCAAGCAAAGGCAATTAAACATTTCTCATATTTGGATATTAAGCTTTTTGCCTCCATATTATGATGGTCTTGCTGTAATAGAAGTAAAGAAGTTTCTTTCCTTACCTGCTAAACAAAAATTGCCCTTGCATGTTCAATACTTCAGCTTTCAGTGAAGAATGTGGATGTGTGGTCACAGCCAGTGTTCAAGCAGAAAGTGGGTGTTGTACCCCATAATGTAACTGCACCCTTCCTCGCTTCTTAAAATGTTTGAGCTCATCTGAAGACTTCCCGTGTTTCTGGCCTTTAACTGTAACCGCAGCTGGGGCTTCAAGTGAGCACCTTGGCTTCACTTCCCAGAGGGAGAACTGTTTCCTGACGGAGTTGCCAACCAAGGTAACTTCACACAAGAAGGCACAGCAGTGATTTATGATGCTTCTCACATTAAACCCACTTCCAGCCGCAGGAATCCTGTCTAGATGGCAGTGTTCTTGCTAACTATTATAGCTTTTATCTGGACAAACCGGTTCAGCTGCTTCTGCTGGCTCTTGCAGGGAAGTTATGGTCTCCTCAGAGCACCAACCCATTGCTATCGTGCAGGAATGATCCTTACCTCACAGCTTTAGAAAGCTCAGAATTGGTGTGAAACAGCTATCGTGGATGTTTAAGTAACTTGTTTTACTTTGTCTTGCAAAGAAAATACATTAATTAGTTAAGTAAGGTAGCAGAACTGTTGTTAGGAAACACTGTTACTGCTAAGAAGATGACAGTGAGGAACACTCAATTATGGACTTGTGTCATTGTCTAAACATAGTTTTGTTTATACAGGTACAGAGTGTCACATTTTTTCCAAGCTCCATACCTGTACAAAGAGTGTCTTTGTTGTGATGGACAAAAACCGCCCCCTTCTTCCCAACACACACATCGGAATGTCTGAACTCCAGAACTCCTCCACATCACAGATGAGTCCTGTCAGGTATCTCCCAGGCTGCTGTGGGTTACTGCAGACTAGTGTGGCGTTGTGACTTACCTTTTTGCTTCTCTCCTAAAACTCCCTTGGAGTCAGCTGCTGATAGTTGCTTCTGCTGGGAGTTCTGGATAGATTTCAAGGAACAACCTTGAGACAACTTCTCAGTAAATGCTGTTCTGAGTGGAAAGGCTTGAAATTCAAGTGCCTGTATGCCTATGGCTTTGCCTTGTTAATTAGCAATTAGAAAAGCATTAATCATATATGAAGATACTGAGATCTCCTCATTACCTTGTTGAAAAATCTCTGGTCTTCAGTTTTTATATTAAGCAGCCCTGTCCACGTCCCACCCTTACTGTCAGGAGCAGAGAGAAAAGATCTGGATTGAGGATTTCTAGCTGTAAAATGTGAGATCCAGGCTTTATTCCTGAGAGTCTTCCTGAAAGTGAAAGTTGCATGTTGGAAATAGGATTACGGTGGCAAGTAGTCAGTAAAGAAAGCTGATGCATCCCTCGCCAAACACGGTAGATCACCCTGATTGTTTGATGATGTGTTATGGTAGTTAAAAATAGCCATCAGCAGAACAGAAGAGAACATGTAATATTGCACTTGTACGATTTTAATTACCGGAAAATGAAAGTTGAGTTGCAGTCATTATCTCTGGTGAATTATGACGCTGATAAAGATTAAAATATCTGGCTATATGAAATGATCTCCCTAGACTGCTGAATGGTGATATCTAGGTTTATCACATAGACAGTTACGGATTTCTCATCACTCGAAATCAAGATAGAAAGTGAGATTTAGGGTTCAGTGCAGGAAATGTAGATAATACTGTGGCTGGTATCAGGCTGGAAGCTAGGTGAAATCACCATTATTATTCCTTTGGTCTTTGAGTTCATCTGGCTCAATCTATTTGAACAGGTCTAGCAAATTTGTTATATTTGCCATTAAGTAAAAATTCTGCTTGATGCTCGTGGGGAAATAAATGCTGTAGAAAGAGTAAGGATCTGTTTGAGAAACTTCATGTTCTTACGAAATGTGGACTATATATATATACACACACACATGTAAAAGCTGTGATTTCTGTTCTCTAAAAACTAATGCAATAATAATAAAATACCAAAAAAACCCTGAATCCTTCAAATTCAAAAATGTCCT